CCGGATAGCCGTCTACCTGCAGCAGCAAGTTGGCAGGGCCAAGAAGAGGGCAGGTAGGGCTTGAACCATTCCCGGGGCGCCCGACCGTCCTTGAGGCTCGGGAAGGCCTGGGACCCTGCTTACTGTCTTCACTCGCATTACCTATTTCCAACCTGGAAGTTGGTCTTGGCTCCCCAAGTGTTCCTGGGCAGGGCCGAAGACAACTGGGCCCCGTGCCAATGATTCCGCGGCGTTCCTACTGTCTCGTAGTTGCAAGGTTTTGTCTCTGTGGTCTCGTGAAAGTTACTTGATGTTCCTTCTACTGAATACCGTTAAAATAGTTTGGGGGTGCACTGGGAGGGCGCGCAGGCAGCTGAAGAGAGCATCTTTTACATACATTCAGAACGGGGCATGGAAGTCCTTCCAGACTTACAATTAACTGAACTTTTCTCCTTTGGTTTTAAGTTTTCAGGCTTATACTTCTATTCATCAGCTTTAGATACACGTGTTACATTTTGGAAACCATTGATCCGGAATCTGGTATACTTTCAGAAAGGAATGCTCTGGCTTTACTCCAAACTCTCACTATGAAGAGTTCAGGAGAAGTTTGAATGGAGGTCTGAGTAACCCAGGAAATTGCTTCTGACAAATGTCTAGTGTGAGTGAGGAAAGATGCTCATTTATTCAAATACTCAAAAGGTGGCATGTAATGAATCTTAGAGTGTTATTGACTAATGTGGTTTCAGGTAAGTTCACTTACCACCTTCTAATTCATTAATCACCTCTCCCCCATTTCCCCTACAAATCAGTCTATTCCAGGAAAGGTCCCATGAAGAAAAATGCAGTATTGGAGCTAGAGATATGGCACAGTGGTTAAGAGCACCGTCTGCTCTTCCAGAGGTTCCAAGTTCAATTCCCAACACTCACATGGCAGCTTATAATCATCTAAAAACTATAGTTACATGGGATCCAATGACATCTTCTGCTGTGCATATATACATGCTTACAAAACACTGTGTACATAAAATGTATACATAAATAAATCTTTCTAAAAAGAAAGATGCCTAATGTTAAATACAAACATGTTAAATAAATAAATACAATGTTAAATACAAACATCAGGCAAGTGCCCCTTTGCCTTTTGAGAGTACCATGTTGATCTTTCTAACTTCTTGTTTGATTAATCACTGAAGTTTTATAATTTTCTGATTGATACGAATATTGTCATCTTATTAATCCTTTTATTTTTTACTTTTATCTTAAACAGTTATAAGTTCTTTCAGGGAGGTTTTCTTTTTTTTCCTCCCTCTTTTTATTATTTGAATTAGAAACAAGCTTGTTTTACATGTCTATCCCACTTCCCTCTCCCTCCCCTCCTCCCCACAGGCCCCCTATCCCAACCCCTTTCTGCTCCCCAGGGAGGGTGAGGCCTTCCATGGGGGTCTTAAGGGTCCTTTCAGGGAGTTTTTATGTTGTTTTGTACAGCAACTACCTTCTAGTCACTGTTCTTATTTGTGACTCAACATTCACATAGCATTTCATGAGTGCTCACAGTATCTATCTACTTTCTGCCTAACAGGAGAATGCTCACAAAAGAAAGTCCTGTCTCTGCATACATTTTATATTTAAGATACAACTTCAGAGCTTATACCTGAGATTTGAATCCAATTTACCTGACTCTAAAATTTGACTCTTTTTACTGTGTTTAGCTGGCATGGTGGCATGTGCCTGAAATTCCTGTATTTTAGAGATGGGAGCAGGAGGATTAGGAACTTAAGGTCATCCTATGTTACTCTTAGACCCTCAAGACAAGTCTGAACTATATCTGACCCTGTCTCAAAGCAAAACAAAACAGAAAACAAAGAACAACAAAACAGGCTGAGAGATGAAAAAGTTCTTGCTGTTCCTTTAGAATTCTGGAGTTTGGTTCCCAGCACCCACATGTGGTGGATCACAATGGCTCCAACTCCAGGTGATTTAGTGACTTCTTCTGACCTCTGTGCTGGTATCTGCACATGTTTGTGCATGCGTACACACATACAAAAAAATAAGTCCTTCAAAAAGAACTCAGTTCATTCATTTAAGTCTTAAGTACAATAGTGGCCAATCAATGTGTACATAGCAAACCTTGGAGATAACAAGATTTAAAAGGGCTATGGTCATTTCATAGGTAATTTTCACATGAATAAGATAAATACTGATCATTGGCCGGTTTTATCATTTTAACCTAAAGGTAAATATCTATATTTCATTTGCATCCAAAGCAAGAGATGTAGAGGTCAATAGCAATTAATGACTCTTAAGGCCTGAGTACCAACTAACTGTAAAAGAAGCTATTAAACCACCTATTTGTATATATTTTCATGTAAATGTCAACATTTTGGTTGCTTACAGCCTTCTATGCAATGTCATCTTTAATCCTCACTGTACTAGGGCATTATTCTTCTTTTACAAATGATAAAGCTGAGGCAAGATTAGTTTTTTAAGTTGTCTAGTTCACATACAGTTATTAAGGACCATACCTGTAATTTCAAGCAATGCATCTCCAAAGGTTGTATTCATAACCAAATTGCCATATTGCCACCTATTAGGTTTTAACCCCGGCCCAGCTTTTATGTCTATGTTTTGTTAGGTACAGAAAATGATCTGTGATAGCTGTACATTCAGATTTCAATGAATAAAGTTATTAAGTATTTATCAATCCAAAGTAAAAGAATAAATAGCAAGAGATAGATAGAGCAAGATATTATCAAAACAAGTACTCACAACATCTAGGTGAAATCGACTGTAAAAGTCCCTTTAAGGTAGTCAGCTGTGGCTCCTTATCAATAGAATCCCAGGCAAATCAGAATGCCCTCACTTCGTAGAATATTAGTATAAAATGTATTACATTCGTTTATGCTGTCAAATATTCATTTAATGATGCATAGATGTGTTGCTTTTTATGTTACATTTGTTTAACTCTGTACAGCTGCCTAAAACACCTGAGTGGTCTAATAAAAAACTGAACAGCCAATAACTAGACAGGAGAGGGGTAGGCAGTGTGCTGCAAGGTAGAGAGAATAAATACGAGGAGACATATGTAGCATGATAAATAAAAGACCCAGAGACAGATGTTGGGGTTCAAGCTTCAAGCTGAAGATAAAAGAAGCAAAGCAGCCAAGCCAGGATATCTTGCCTCTACTCATCTGAAATGGCAATCCTGTCTCCACAAATCCTCAGAGGCAAAAGACTGAATTCCTGTTTCTTCCTCTTTATATTCCTGTCTCCGCCCAGCTATATCCTCCTGTCTCTACCTCTCTAGTGCTGAGATTAAAGATGTGTGATCCCAAGTACAGAGATCATCTTTGTGTGATCCCAGGACTGGATCAATTTCATGTAGCCAGTTGGCCTTGAACTAACAGAGATCAGTCTACCTCTCAATCCTGAGTCCTGGGATTAAAGGTGTGCACCACTACCACCTAGCTCTATGGTTGCTGGGATTAAAGGTGTGTATCACACTGCCTGATCTCTATAGCTTGAGGCTGGCTTTACTTCACGAATCCTCAGACAGGCTTTAATAAATCATAAATAATATATCACCACAGAAATCTAGGTTAGAAGAAGAATGAGCAAGAAAAGGAAGAGAGGAGGATACTAGGGGCCAGCCACCCAGTCACACAACCAGCCATGGAGTTAGAAGAAAGAAAGGCATATAGAACAGAGAAAGGTAAAAGCCCAGAGACAAAAGATAGCAGGCTAGAAATAAGACAACCTAAGGCAGCATTCATAAGTAAGAATAAGTCTCCGTGTATTTATTTGGAAGCTGGATGGCAGGCCTCCAAAGAGAAAACAAAACAAAAACAAACAAGTATACCCATTCCTTGAGTAAGACTTAGTAGCAGATAGAGATAAAATCAGCAGTTTGGGTGCTCACAGCATCAAGTGGAAACAACTGAAGATGTCATTGTACTCAGCTGGAGCTACCGATTAAGCTTTCTTTCCTGGGATGAGCTATCCAGGGCTGGACTTCTGGCTTCTCTTTCCCAGGGTCCACACATTTATGTCATCAAAGAAACAACAGTAATTTCTTTTGGAAACAGTTTGTCTTCTAGTTGTTCTTAAAGTTAATTTTTTTTTTTTTTTTTTTTTTTTTTTTGTCTGGGCCAAGAGGAATGTAGGTAACGCCTGCTTATCAATGAGCTCAAGTAGCACATGACAGTTTGCTAATACAATAAACATTATAGTATACAAAGGGAACTTTCTTCCTCTGGGGATAATATTTTTCATTAATAAGGGACATTGGATTAGATAATCTATTCTGCAATTACTTGTGAAATCCACTGACTTCTGTTGACTCCCTGGTAGACCTGATAGCAGTTTTGGTATACTAGAAAACCTTGGTCAGTGGGGGGCTTTATATGTACTGTGTCTTCCCCGTGGAGCAACATGGAATCATGCTTTTGTAATGAAAGTACAAGACTCGAGTTTTGGGGATTTGGGATTTTAAATAAGAGTCCCCCTCCCCCATTTAATTTGCTTTTCCACAAGATGTCAGG